AGCCCCATGGCCTGACCCACTTTCCTCATCCACTTCTGGCTCGCTATCCGAACTTGAGGAGGCCTTCTCGTCGGCTTCGGCTGTTTCATCGAAAAGACCCTTCAGGGGTTTGTCCTTTCGTTGGCCCAGTTCGTAATTTATATCCACTGTGTAACGGTACTTGGCGGTATACTTCACAAACTTCTCTGCATTGCCTGTAGTCTCCACGCTGATGGAACGCACTGTAGTTCCGGAGACTGTGCTTGACGGCATCAAGTACTCGATGTGGACATTCGGCACGAGCGTGTCCCACTCTGGTACCACGTCATGCGGCGCCAGGAGGAGGTTGCAAGTGAGGAGATGAGGTCGGTAGGAGGCTTTCAAAGTCAAAACAAAGGTATTACTGACAAAATTAAGGTAAGAGTCAAATATAAAGTAATGTTTTTTGTTTTCATTAGCCTTTATCAGTATTCCAAAACCAAGTCTGCAATTTCTAGCAACTACGACACTTTATACATGCATTCCATGCTAAGTGGATATTCGTACAGAAAACAGCTAACGGGTTCCAACCGTGTGAAGACACAAATGTGATAATTTTGCCTTAGTGAGATCTTATATTTAGGGCCAACATTGTATGTGACAGTATTTTATCTCAATTGGTAGTTTATCAGTTGTCCAAACGATTACAAGAATGCTTTCTTATTTATTGGTCCTAATATCTACAAGGCAGGCCAAAAAGTAATTCACATTTGGCTTGTCAACCAATGAATACGAACGTCGGACATTCTGTGTTCCTCTTTGAAACGTTCCCTGTTGATGGAACTATCCGTTGATATTGTTCGCCAGGACTTCTAATCGTTTGACAAAGACTAATCATCAAAGCTAAATTATTTGACTGTATACTGCTTCTTAAAATGAAAACCACACGAAGGTGACAACCTTATAAACGTACTGTGCCACATATGTTTTTACTATGGCCAATAAAGAATGAAAAGGTTTATCAGGTTCGCTACTGCAATGGGAACGTGAATCTTAAACCAATCATACTCAGGTGCAATTCGCGTGTGCCATCAAAATGGAGTCCGTCTTATTATATTCCCACATAGTTTGGCGCCACTTGTTGCATAGAAGAGAAAGCCAAGAGGGATAGGAAGGCACAACTTTACTGCGACTATGTTTAAATCAACCTCCCAACCCCTTCTGTGCAGGCCGACGTATTGCAGGGACGCGACGCTGCCTGATTTCTGCGTTCCTATTGGTTGAGTTCTTAGTGCTAGCATGGGCTAATGGCTGGCACCGGAATTTCCCTTATGATCAGCGTGAACTAAACAGACGGGACAGTTCTGTGGCGTTCTCTGCTGCGCGTGAAGGCCGGACGGGGGAAATGCGACATCGGGTTCTAAGTCGCTCTAGTCTGAAAGCAAGTGTTGATGTCGGTGTTTTCTGGCCATTTTCCTAAATCCGGTACATCGTGTTACCCGCGTTTGTTGTCCTAAATACGTTGTACCTCTGACACTAAAAGACTTCTGTTGTTGCACATTTCTTGTCGTGTTCTTCCTTTGGGGACTCACACAAGGCGTTATTGGGTGGTGATATCTCGGCCTGGGCTTCCGTTACAACGCCAACAACTTGCGATTTGGCCTGATATTTGTAGTGCTCTGAGTAAAAACACGGCGTAGACCACTACTCTACCATTTCCGTTATGAGCTCTGATTTGTAAAGATACTGAAATCCAGGTACTGAGACTATAGTTGTCCCCTTAATAGTCAAGCAACGTGAGGTAAACCTATTGATTCTGTCACCGTTTAGTTATTTTTATTCCGACAAAAATACTTTCAAAAAAGTGTATTCTCTCTGTCTCTGTCTCGTGGGCAATTTCTAGCTCATTATGTGTGTTCTAAATGTTAAATTTTGCGGCAGGACTGTCTTGGAGGGCCACCTAAATATCTATTCCCCCTGCCCAACTGTCTTTCGGAATTGGGGGTTAAACATTTTATTCTGGGTTAACGATTGTAAATTAATATGTAATTGTGTCGGAAGTGGCCAACTAATATTACATTAAAGCCACACATGGTGGTTTTAATGAGCTAAATAGAATAAACTCCAACAACATAAACTCCTGTTGCTCAGGCAATTGATGCCTATTTATGGAAATTTGACCTTACATGGCCTACGCCAACGGATGCTCGTAACAGCTGAAGCAGTAGCCATACGGCTAGC